GTTAAAGAAGTCAAAGACTATTAATATTATAATAATTAAAATTATTATTTAATTAAATAAAAAGAATAGCCGAGTAAGTATAATTAATAGATTTCTAGTAAAAATATAAAAAATATACCCGAAGCTATAAAATAATATTAAAAATATTATAAAAAGTATTATATATTAAGAAGACAGAAGATAATTACTAGTAAATTACTTTATATTTTTAAGAAATAAACTACAGGAATATTAATTTCTTAATATTTCTTATTAATTATATTATTATAGATTAAATATATTAATAGATATAAAATTATTTTACTATAAAACAGTAAAAAATATCTAAATATATTTAGTTATATCTACTATCTATTTATAAGATAAATAATAATAATAATCAGGCTCTTTTATTATAACTCAGAAATATTTATAGAAAAAATAGATTTTAAAAAAAAAATATAGAGATCTATAATTAATTTAATAATATTATTCTTATTATTTAAAGTTAATTTATTATTATTAATATCCGGGTATTAAATATATACTATAGCTCTTATTAAATTAAGAAAATTTTATAAAGCAGAAATTCAGTCTATATATTCTAGATTATTAAACAGTAAATATAATAATATTTCTGTCTTATAAATATAATAATTCTTCAGCGAGGCGCGGAGACCAGAATAGAAAACTAATTATACTAAAAAAATATAATAAATTTTAATAAACTTAATATACTTGGCAGTAAACTTTTAATAAAATATTAATAATAAAACTATAAAGATCTTATTTCTTAATTATAATAAGAATTTATATACTTGGTGATCTTGATACTTTTTAATAAAAATTTATAAATATAGATATTTTCTATACTATTAAATATTTTTATAAAAATATAAATCTCTTTGCAGACAGTCTATTTAATATTATTATTTTAATATTCTTTCTTCAGAATCAGAGTAGCTTATTTAATAATTTTTATAAAATTATAAATATTTTCTAGCAGACCAGTTGCAGGCTCAAGAGATATTAGTAAATTATATATATATAATATAAAGTATATAAAATCTATAAGATTATAAGTCTTCTTTTTTACAGAATAAAAATAATATAGAATAGATATTTTTATATTTAATAAATAATTAATATTATATAAAATATTTTTTTTAGAATTAAAATTATTATTTATATATCTCAGACAGTATATACAGAAGTTATAGCAGGCTTTAATAAGAATATTTTATTTAAGATATACTGTTTTTTTTATTATCGCGAAGTAATTAAGAATAAGATTAATATTTAATAAAAAAAAGAATAACAGTAATACAGTATAGATAAAAATAATAAAGATTATATAAAATAATAAAAAAATATAAAAAGAATAATTATAAATTACTAAAAAAATAATAATTACAAAGTAGAAGAGAAGAAGAAAGAAAAATAATATAAAAAATTCTTTTATTTATATTTCTTTACAGAGGATTTATCTATATAAATATAATATAAAAGATTCTTTTATTTATATTTCTTCGCAGGGGATTTATCTATATAAATATAATTAAATATTTATAAAGCTATATAAAAATAATATATAACTTTGTTTATATTATATATTCCACAAGTTTTTTATTTTTTACTATCAGATTTCTACTGTTCTGAATCAGAAATATATAAAACTATTCTTAATATTTAAGCTAGATAACTTATCTCAGCAAAGAAGAGTATTATTTATAATAAAATAATTCAGCTATTAAGATAAAGATTATCAGAATAATATATTATAGTAATTATAAGAGTTATGTTATTAAAATAATATATTATAGTGATTATAAGAATTATAAGATTATTAATAGTGATTCTATATCTCTCTGATATTTATAAAATATTAATCTCTTTATAAAAAGCTACTGATTCTTCAAGAATCAGTCTATCTTATAAATATAGACTATCTTTGTTATTGTCAAACAAATACACAGTGTTTCATGGTTGATTCCTTACCTAGTTGACAGGCTTTCTACCCTGACAAGTAGATCCTATCACAATTATAATATTAAATTATGAAAATATATAATTTAAATAATTATTATTAAAATCTATAATTTTATTTATATTAAGATATATTTATTTATATTAAAATATATTTATTTATATAGATATATATCTATATCTTGTTTTTATTATATTATATATTTTCTTCATAAAATTTTATATTATTATTTTTTTATTAATTATATTTTCTTTAATATCTGCTAATATTATATTTATATATAATTATCTAGTTTAAGTAAGATTATATTATTAGTAATCATTATTATATATAAATAATAATAAATAATTATTTTATAATTATAATATAATCTAATTATTATTATAAATAATAGTTTAATAACTATTATAAAATAATCAGTAAGTATAATAAATTATTAGATATATATAAATAATAGTAAGCTACTATCTTTGACTTTTACTGAACTATGCTGTGACCCTCTATACACACGCCTCCGGGCCCCTATGAAGTATAATAAATAAGTATAATAGACAAGTATAATAGACAAGTATAATAGATGAATATAATAAACAAGTATATATAAAGATCAGACAGAGATCTTGATAAAGTAATATAGAGCAGTAAAGTAATTAAAACAGACTATTTTAGAGGGCTCTTTAGAACTTATATATATATAACTAGAATATATTATCTAAAGTTATTAAATAGCAAGATTTTTATTTTATTAAGCAGATTAATTAGTTATAAATATTTTTTAAATAACTCTATAGTTAAGTACTAGAGGCGGGCTGCTATATCTAATTTTGAATTAAAATATTAATAATAAATGACTGTTGCAGAAGGTCTCTACTAACTACCTTACTTATGTCATACTACCTTGGTACTACTAGTAAACCGGTAATCTAAAGGACATAGCGCTACCTGTACCTAGGTAGTACAGAGTAACTACCTAGTAGATACTTAGGTACACTATGGGAGGGGAGGTTACTAGTGTGTATTGTTGTTTGACGACCGAGCCCGGTCCGCCCTTTCAATAGCTAGATAGGTACACTACTCAACTAACCGACCCCTACACGGCTTACTGCTCCGAGATTGCCTGTAGAGTGATCCCAACACCTTAACAGAGTTGATATATTAATATAATTAAATAAGAGATATAATTCTTTAAATAATTATTAATTCTTTAAATTTTAATAAAACTAGATATTTTTTATATAAAAATAAAGCTTAATAATTATTCTAATTTTCTAGATATTTAGATTTATTATATAATTAATTCTTAATTTAATATATATTAATATAATTTAATTATAATCTTCTTTTATTTTATATATAAGTAAGTCTTTTTTTAATAATATTATATTTTTTTTTAATTTAATTAATTCTAAATTCTAATAAAATTATTACTACTAATAATTTTATTTATTTATAAATAATATTTAAAAATCTTTTTTTAATTAAATTAAATAAAAACTATAGCTGTAGATTAATCTAAATTTTATTTTAAAATATTAATAAAATATATTTATATTATATATTTTTTAATTAATATATTTAAATAATATTTATAATTTAAGCTAAGTTTCTTTAAATAAGAAAGATAATTAATAATAGCTTTAAATTATTTTAAAATTATTAAAATATTATTATAAAAAATTATTAGAATTATTAATATTATTATTAAATAAAATATAAAACTATTTTTCTATTATTTTTTAAATACTTATTTTAAAATTATAAGAAATTAATTTTATTAAATAAAATATATATTATATAATCTAATATTTAAATATTTTAATTTAAATAGAGATAAATACTGCTAGAAAATCTTTTTTAATAAAATTTTTATAATTAATCTAAATAATTATAATAATTATTTTATTATATTAATATTTATAAATATAAAAAATTCTAATATCTAAAAATTATAAAATATAGCTTAAATAAAAAATTAAGATAAAAAAAATAATTTTATTTTTTTTATAATATTTTATAAATTTATATATTATATAAAATCTATAATTATTATAAATTAAAAGTTAATATTTTTTTAATTAATTATTTTATAATAAAATTAAAATATTAAATCTATTAAAATATTATTTTATTTATTAATTATTATATAATCTAATTTAGTAACTCTAATATATAAATTAGTTTTAATATAATTAAATTAATTCTTTAAGATATACTTTTCTAATATTAAAATAAAAAAAATAAGATCTCTTTAATTATATTAATTATTTTTATAATAATTATATATTTTTTATTTATATTATTTTTAATATAATAATACTATTTAAAAATTTAAGTAATCATTTATTAATTTTTTTAATATTTTTTTAATATTTATTTAAAAGTCTGTTTTATTAAAATTTTATATATTATTTAAAATAATTCTATATTTTAATATAATCTTTTTATATTTTTAAAATTAATTTTTAAGTATCTCTAAATTATAAGTCTACTTTTTATTAATATATATAATTTAAATATATTTTTTTTTATATTTAAGATATTTTTTAAATTATTTAAAGAATTATCTCTCACTAATTATAAAAATTAAATTAATTAAATTAATATAAATTTTCTTAAATATATTACTTATAATTAAAATAATTATTTTTAATTAAATTAAAATAAATTATTTATTAAGTAATTAAATATAGTATAATAAAATAAGATTATAAATTTTATTAAATTTTTAATAAAAATATTTTTAATTATTATAAAAAACTCTGTTTTTTAATCTGGCACAGAATCTAAATATTAATATTTTATATTTTTATATAAATTATATAATATTAAATTTCTGAATATATTTTAATATATAAATAATCTATTAGATTTAATTCTTAATTTTATAATAATCTATAAATATTATAATAGCTTTAAAAAATATAACTTAATAAAATAATTAATTTTTTAAGAAAGATAATATTAATATATCAACTCTGTTAAGGCGTTGGGATCGCCCTACGGGCGATCTCAGAGCGGTAAGCCGCGTAGGGGTCGGTTATCATGGTACTACAATTGTTTAAGCGCCTCAATTAACTGCTGGTCAATCGTCGTCATCCATCCCCGCCCAGTACCTTGTACTTTATCTTACCATCGGCACCTGCAGCCACCCACGTCCGTTTGCTTGCCAGTTCTCCCGGATCCTTCTCCGACTCGAACACCATCCATCAGCTCTAGTTCCCAATCCCCTCCGGCTACGTCACGGAGGATGAGGATCCGGATCCGTGGTCCCGGGGGACAGACCATGGTCACGTTGGATGACGACGCGACAATTGATGACCTTCGCAGTCAGATCGCAGAGAAAACAGGGCTAGCCACTTATGATGTGAAGTATGGATATCCCAATATCAAGCCATTGCTGCTGGAGGGGTTTCTATCGGACCAGAGGATTGTAGATCTCGGGGTCATCTTGAACGGGGAACAACTCATCGTCAGCAAGAAAGAAGACTTGATTCAAGCAGTAAGCAGCAACAGCGACGAACCTCCAACGACGAAGAAACCACTGTCCCAGAACTCACACGTCGGGAAAAGGTCCCCCGATGACCCGCCAGAGGTTGCTTCCCCCCAGCATAGCGGCACTTTCGTTCTCCGTATTATGCCTGATGACAACTCCTGCTTGTTCCGTGCAGTGAGCAGTGCGAATATGGGGGGTGTGGATGTCATGACAGAGTTGCGATCTGTCGTCGCACAGGCTATCCAGGCCAACCCAGATCTTTATTCTGAGGCAGTGCTTGAGAAGAAGCCCGACGACTACTGCCGCTGGATCCAGAATGAGGACTCGTGGGGTGGCGGTATTGAACTAAGCATTTTGAGCAAGCATTTCGATATTGAAATATGTTCGATAGATGTGCAGACCCTCCGGGTCGATCGATTTAACGAGGGCCGCCCATTACGATGTATCCTTGTCTATTCAGGAATTCACTACGATGCAATTGCCTTGTCGCCTTCGAGTTCTCCTTTCACACGCACCGATGCCCCTCCTGAGTTTGACACCATGGTCTTCGATGCGCAAGACCCGATAGTGCTTGAGAAGTCGCTGGAGCTTTGTCAGGTTTTGCAGAACAAGCATTACTACACCGACACGGCCTCGTTTCATCTCCACTGCAACGTATGTGGTCGGACATTCATCGGCGAAAAGGGTGCCACCCAGCATGCTGAACAAACTGGGCACGCTGATTTCGGGGAGGCTGGCTAAATCCGGGGTGTTAGTTCTCGAATTTTATATATACGTAAGTATATATATATCTATCTATCTATCTATCTATACATGGGTACTCTTCATCTATATCTAATCATGAACAAAGGACCCACAAATGTCACCAGTCTATCTGGGAACGCGTCTTCTTGCCTTGATTGAGAATACACCTTATCGCTCTTGTTCTTTCTCCTATTATCCAATCTGGCCCCTCCATACCATTTCTCACTTTGTACCGACCCCCCGCTTGTGTGGATTTTTGGACAGACTTTAGACGCTAAGTATTGATTGTCCGGCCAATAGGTGTATAAACCAGATGGGTATTTACTATTGTCAATAGCGGGTGATCAATGCCCGGCCTTTTGTGGTTCTATCGCGTCATAATCATAAATTACACCAAGGGCTCTATACCATTGCTACTTCATCGGCTTCTTCATCTTCCTTGTCTTCTCCATCCTCCCCTGTGTCTGCGCTGTCTTCGGGGTTCCCTCCCCATTCCACATCGTGGTCGATGGGGTCAGTGAAAAACTCATGTTGTAAGGCTTCCCTAGCACTTAAACGTTTATATGGATCCAGTTCCATGAGGCCAGCCAGGAGACGAGTAGCTTGTTTCTCACTCTCAGTCAGCTCTTCCACGCAACTAGCCCATTTCACAAGCTTCTCCCAACTGTACCCCTTTTCCCCAATGGTTGGTATGTTGGTTTCGAATACTTGTCCATGCATAGCCGCTGCGATTTTCATACGTCGCGTGCCGAAGATGCTTGCCATTTCAATCATAGCATCAACATCATCAGCCGAGTTGAAGAACGGAAATCGGCGCCCAAGCAAAGTCAGAAGAATAACACCGGCAGACCACATATCTATCTTTGTAGTCTGGGAGGTGCACTTAAAAAGGACCTCGGGTGCACGAAACCCTCTTGTCCCTGCTCTGTTAGCGCGCCTTGATGGCCGTGAATCCGTCTTAGGATATCCGGTTGACGCTGTTGTTGAACATTGTGAGTAATGGTAGCTCTGTAGAAATTTACTCCGCCGTATGTAACTTGGATTGGCACACAGACAGGTACCCGTGTATTCAGATCCCTCTCGCTATTGACTTTAGTTTAAACTGCCTAGAAATCGCCGGAGAAAGGGGTCTTAGCTCACCTCTGCAAGACCAAAGTCGACTAATACGCCCTCTCGAAGATCAGGGTTATAGAGAAAATTACTGTGAGAGTTATGCACGTGTTAGTATATGATCAAGACCATCATTGCGAGCAGGTTATAGGTTTCCTTACGTAGGTTTTATATCCCGGTGGAGGATGTTATGCTTATGAACCGAGTGCAGTGCAGTAAACAAAGACCGAAAATAATGTCGCATATCAGCAACCATGAAGGTCCGGTATTGAATGCGAAAGTCTGTATGGGGGAAGAAAGGCAGAACGGCCACGACCTGGTCCTGATAGCGGAAAGCTGTGATTAACGGGCAAACTGATCGACAGCCACGAAGATCATGCAGTAATTCAAGTTCATTTTGGATGCGATGGGGACTACTTGTCACGTAGATCTTCTTTAGCGCGACGTATCTTGGCTTTCGTCGTTTAATGGAGATTGAGCGGCCGGTTTCGCCCTCTACTCGGCGTCTCTTGGCCGGAGGGTTTGCCCAGTTGTCTACCAGGGTACTCTGAAACGTATCCCAGTCGTTTTTGTATTGATCGTACAAAATATCTTCTGCTTTGTAAACAGTAGAGAAGGTCCCTATATGTTTGAAACAGCTAATTAGTCGATTGGACCAAGCAGGCAGGGACTGTGAGCTAAAGGAGGAACCCGGGGCAAGGAGACAATTGCACTGTACCTTCTCCAATTCTGTTGACCAGCCGAAAACGAATAGAAATGCCAGGAAATGTATCTTCAAGTTTTTTCATATCTTCTTTCACAGAATCATCAACATCCTCATCGTCCCGGGGCTCATCCTCTTCATACTCGCTCTCTTCCATCGCCTGGCCTAGTGAGTTGTCACTGTCGGTTGCAGCACTGTCCTCCCTGGCATATTTAGGACCTGGTTTCGCAAATCCCAACTTCTGTACATATAAGATGCCAGCAGGAGCTGCTTCAAGTGTGGACATTGCGCCCGATGGCCTGACGAATCGTCAAAAAGAAACAGTCTGATTCAATGATGGGTGACTAATGAGTCTGCCAGTACTAGCCGGATATTGGCTGGCACTGTTCACCGTCAAGGGAGCTGTATAAAATCATAAGAAGGAATTTAAGAACGCTAGAAGTGGCTTGTTCAGTGAGACATCACGTCGCGTGCACGCGTATGGGAAGAGATCGTGGATGTGCGGAGAGTGTGTACTCCGTAAGTATCCAATCTTGTACTCTAGAGTGTTGCGGCGGGAGACAGGCTCCGGGGCAGTAACCATGTAAAATCACTTCCATTGATACTTAGGTATGTAATGATACCTAATATTTACTGGTTAGTACCTTTGTGGACCTGTGGCGGCAGTGTAAGGTAGTAGATACTAACTAGGTAGGTAGGTACTAGTACTACTTAGGTACATAGAACAGCCTGCGTGCACTATATACTACTAGTAGTACTCCGCAGGTAGTGTAGATACACAATGTATTGTTCATGTAATTTACTTTACTGGTACGCAGCCCGGTACCATCATCACAACCACCGAAAAGGAAAGATACAAACAAATGAAGCCCTCTCGCATGCTGCCACTCTTTTGCTTGGCTTTCTTTCCCCTCCAATCCCCCCCCTCCCACACCCGCTTTTTGAAGTCCCCTTCCACCACCTTGTCTTCTGGATATCTCAAGTCCTTCGAGGACATCCCTCGCCGTGGCTCATCATGGAGGACCGCATTAAATTCGACATCAACGAATCTTTGAAGTACTACTTGAGCGACCCGGCCTCTGTGCCTACCCCAGATGCAGACCCGGAGCTGCTAGATGGCGAAACCGAACCGGATCAACTGACGACTGCTCTGATCGACAATATATTGAACTTGATTGTTGATGCAGTTGCAGAGAATCCCGAAGGACTGACTCGGTCGTCCTTTTTTGATTCTTTGCAATTCCTGTTAAAGTACGCCCCTCCCCCCCAAAACATCATAATCCTCTATTTCTAAACGCCCGGCCCTTTGCAGATACTCTTCGTTCTTTCCTACACGAAGTCTGAGCAAACTTCTTGATCTAGTTGTTTCTGGCTTATCAGTAGAAGCGGACATAATCCATGGAGACCTCGAGTCCGACGAGCAGGATGGCATGCAGCAACACAAGCAGTTACTCGAGATGTACGGCTTCCTTTTGCAGTGGGCCCTCAGTGCTGTAGAAGTCAAGGCCGCAGAAAAGCCCGCCGAGACAGCACCCGCTCGCAGAGGCGTTGGGAAGTCAGCCAGATCGAAATCGAGCGTTAAGGATGGCCACTGGGACTGGACAACGCAAATACAGATTTCAATGGAAACTATGTGCAAAGTCATGAAACTCAAGCTCAGCAGGATCTTTTTGACAACTTCAGATCGCGACACGTTCATAAACCTCTTTACTCGTTCGATTTACCTCATTCTTGAAAGTGAGCAGCGTGTGAAGAGTATGAGTATTCGGATGCATGCATTCAAGGTTCTGTGTATCGCAGTAAAGCATCACGGGCATGCATTCGGTAAGCCCTCGGGAATCTACTTTCGTGATATACGACTAACTTGCGATTTAGGAGCCCAGACTTCTATCGTACAGAGCTTGACATACTTCGAGCATCTGTCGGAACCCATGGCAGAGTTCTTACATATTTTGGCAGAACAATATGACTACCCTCAACTTTCAGATGAGATTCTCAAGTACGAAGAAAGGTTTTGCACATAAATAGCCAGGTCGCCGCTAACATGTCATAGGGAGCTTGGGAACAAGGAATTCAATTCTAATGATACCCGGGGGCCTAAGTCGGTGTCGGCCTTCATTGTGAAACTTTCAGAACTGGCCCCACGACTTATTATAAAACAAATGACACTCTTGGCCAAACAATTGGACAGCGAGGTAAGTATACGATCCCGGATTCATCCGTCCCCTACCCCAGTAGAATCTGACGCTTTTGATAGTCATATACTCTTCGATGCGCCGTTGTCGAAGTTTGCGGAAATCTAATCTCGGATCTTAGCCGGCAAGAGGAGCGAAGTGATAACTACAAAACACAGATAAACGCATTCTTCGATGTGCTCGAGGAGCGCTTCCTTGATATCAATCCTTACTGTCGATGCAGAGCAATCCAGGTGTACATGAGGATCTGTGAACTGGAACAAAAATTTCCAAAGAGACGGCAAGCCGTAGCCGAGTTAGCAGCAAGGAGCTTGGAAGACAAAAGCAGTAATGTGCGGCGGAACGCCATCAGATTACTTTCGAAACTAGTCTCGACCCATCCGTTCAGTGTCATGCATGGTGGGCAACTCTCGCATAAAGAATGGACGGAGAGACTCGATGCCGTTGATTCTGAACTTAATGCACTGAGACCACCTGAAACGCCTGGTTTTGGTGGCGCAGATGCATCACATGTTGACAGTGAATTGTTAGACGATGCTACTCAAATGCCGGATGAATCTCCGTCTAAGGCCACAGGGTTAACGGAAGAAGAGAAGATCGTGGCCATGAAAAAAGCCGCCGAACAAGCCGCCACATCCGAGCTGCTGGCACGGCTCCAGCTAACAAGGAAATACTACAATGAAGCCCTTCGATTCATTGATGTCCTTCATTCTTCTTCTGAGATAGTCGCCCAGCTCTTGTCCTCAAGGAACAAGAGTGAAGCCATTGAGGCTATGGACTATTTTGTCGTGCTTGATGCATACAAGGTTGAGACTTCCCGTAGTGGAATACGGCGAATGCTCCGGCTGATTTGGACTAAAGGTAATAGTGATGAAGGCAAGGGAGTCCAAACCCACTTGATCGACTGTTACAAAGGACTTTTCTTTGAAGCCCCCGATTCTTTTAGCCCTAATGATGCCGCAAATTACATTGCCCGAAACATGATCAGTCTGACTTTTGGGTCAACGCCTGCCGAACTTACTTGTTTAGAGCAACTACTGAGCACCATGATGAGGGCAGGCTATGTCTCAGACACCGTTGTTGCAAAGCTCTGGCAAGTCTATGGCGTGCAAAAGAAAGAGATCTCGAGGACGCAACGTCGAGGGGCCATTATTGTTCTCGGCATGCTCGCTTTGGCAGATCCTGAGGTAGTCATAAGAGAGATTGAGACAATGTTGCGAATTGGACTTGGAAGTCTGGGCAGATCTGATCTTGTGCTTGCAAAGTACACATGCGTTGCGTTGCGACGAATGGTACCAGGTCGCCAAGCAAAGTCTAAGGACGTTGGCATCCCTAAACTTGCAAATGATCATGCTGTTTTGACTAAGCTTGCGGCCATAATTGAAACAGTTTCCGAGAGTAAAGAGTGGTATGGCGTAGCGGAGCAAGCCATCGGTGCCATCTATGCCTTGTCGAAGCATCCTGATGTCCTATGTTCGGACCTTCTCAGACGAAAAACTCGTTTTGTCTTTCAATCACAAATTCAACGATCTTCTTCAAGAGTCTCCGATGACGAAGAAGAGCAAAGACCCGGAACAGCTTCGACAGATGACCATGGAGCAAGACAAAAGGCATCTTCTGCTGCAATTTCTCAGCTGCTCTTTGTTGTTGGCCATATCGCAATAAAACAGATCGTTCACCTAGAACTCTGTGAACTTGACTTCAAACGCCGCAAGGCAGAACAGGAGAAGAACAAAGTCGCCAACTCCTCGGCCCAAAAAAGCAACGACCCAACCGAGGATGATGAACTTGACCTCATCGGTGGAACGACTGAAGACGACTTTACCGATGCCATGGCACACATCCGAGAACGAGAGTTACTTTACGGGGAAAACTCGCTCCTGTCTAATTTTGGACCGTTGGTCACGGAGATTTGCGCAAATAGCAATATTTATGCCGATCGCAACCTTCAGGCTGCAGCAACTCTGTGCATGGCTAAGTTGATGTGTGTCTCGGCTGACTACTGCGAAAAAAACCTTCCCCTTTTGATAACCATCATGGAGCGCTCCGAAGATCCGATTGTTCGCAGCAACGCCGTAATCGCCCTAGGAGACATGGCCGTCTGTTTCAATCACCTTATAGACGAAAACACAGACTTTCTGTACTGTCGACTGAACGACAACGATGCATCCGTCAAGCGGACCTGTCTGATGACGCTCACTTTCCTCATATTAGCGGGCCAGGTTAAAGTCAAGGGACAGCTGGGCGAAATGGCCAAATGTCTTGAGGATGAAGACAAGCGGATTGCTGACTTAGCGCGCATGTTCTTTACTGAACTGGCAAGCAAAGACAATGCAGTATACAACCATTTCGTTGACATGTTCAGCCTTCTAAGTGCAGAACGAACCCTCGAGGAAGCTTCGTTGAGACGTATTGTGAAGTTTCTGATTGGCTTTGTTGAGAAGGTAAGCCTTGACCTGAACATTAATATAGTTTCCCTTAGACTCAAGATTTTAACCTCGTTTGCCCTTTGCAGGAAAAGCATGCTCGGCAATTGGCGGACAAGCTGGCTGCTCGGCTTCCCAGATGCGAGACAGAGCGTCAATGGAATGATGTCACTTATGCGCTGTCTCTTCTCCCTCACAAGAATGAAGAAATAACAAAAACAATAACCGCAGGGTTCAACAAGGTTATGACAACAAATGCTTAGGCTGGCGGACCTATTATTTCTAGCGGTATCTCGGGTTTTGGTTTATATGTCGATACATTAATGCAAATTCAGCGGTGTTGGGAGGCAAACAAGGGTGAAATTGACATGGATACTGTCCTGGCTTAAGGGTGTTTGGCTTATTCTGCTGTCTTACTCATGGAAGGCTGGTGTTAAAGGCTTTTCTAATCTATGGGGCTCTATTTAGTGTGATGCTATGTTGGGGTGCTTTTTAAGTATATCAGTGCCTGTATGCTGGGAATGCAATCACTATACCTTATGCTGATACTCTTAAACTTATCAATAGCCCGGCCAAACAACTCGTATTAAAAGCTTCACTGGTAAGTGAAAAAGAGATCTAGAATCGCCAAATACTATAGGCATAAACAGAACTGTAAGCTCCGCATAATCAACAAGAAAGAATTGGGAAGACCAAAGGAATACCTCTACCTATATATATGTTGCCAAAACAGTGTCTGATCGCATACGCCGGAACCAAGCAACTGTGTTCATGTACAACTGACAAGCCCAAAGAGAAAAATGCCCTTATGCACCTTTCGTTTCACTTTCTTTTAACTTGTAATCACCATTGCGCACCCCTTCAAGTGCCTGGACGCCCTCTTTGGTCAACTCAGGTCTCCCCAAAGGTGTAACAGCGCCAGTGAAGAACCGCGGTTGCCACGTCTCGTTCTTCTTCTGACGCTCCGCAGCTTTTTGGCGTTGCCGTTCCTCAATATCCTGCTTAAGCTTGGTGGCCTGGCCAAATCTTTTGTCGAGTATCGCCTCAGTGACCGAGGCCCAGAATTTGCGAGATTCATTGGAGAGTTGATTCTCCTCAGGGGGTAGATTCTTTGCGACAGGGAAAAGAGGGGTGACATCAATCAAAACCCGAGGATCACTTGTACCGGCCAACGTATAAAAGACTTGTCCATGCCACGAACCGCTAATCCTGACAAGGACATCGCCTTCGGGCACGTCTTTCATCCTTGTAATCACATCTTTATCCGGATCATACCGAAATACAACACCCTCTACCTTGTTTTGCGCCCGACCAATCCAGCCCTCCTCCAGGTACTGCAGGATCACCTTGATACGAGTTTTGGCACAAGTGATATAGCAAGTGTCCGAGACTGATATGGCTAGGGCCCCCCTCAACAGGCCACCCAGGTGTGCCGCAGGGTGAGTCAGATGGTACTCTTCGTGGTCCCTATGTTCAAGGTTCACAAAGATCCCTAGGTTGTGCTGGCCAGGAGCAACTCGGATACTGGTGCCTGTGAACTTCGCACTAATTTGGTCAAATCCACGAGCTGAGACTCCCCGATCCGGACAATCTATAAAGAAGGCCGACACCGGTGGATGGTGAGAGGTCTGCTCTGTCAAGTAGCATATCTTGAGCCGTTCCCCAATGGTGTTCCTCGCGTCTGATGCGTCTATTATGCTCGCCTGGGAAGTCGTGGGCAATTCTGGAAGCGTATGGTCTACTTCCCAGCTACACTAACGTTTCAGGTCGGTTAGTACATCAGTGATAGCAAACACAAGTGAGCCTTCCTATTGAAACCTACCCTGAAGAACTCCCCCAATGTGGAATTATACGGCTTGCACGGTTTGCCCTTGATATATTTCTGTGACCCAATTAGCAAGCTCTCTCCCCAGTAAGATGGAAGCCCGGAATTAGAAAATACCAAGTCTTTGGTGAACCAGAACCTCAAGACTTCCAGCGTCCGCCCCAGCGGATCGTCCGATTGACCGATGCTGTGGCACCCATGTCAGAAAATAAGCCTCATTTACGGGCAGACTACCTTGCTGACCTTGCAAAGGCCTCCGGTCTGTCTAAGTAGTTCCAGTATTCTGGGCAAGTCATGATGCCAGTTAGCTGTCCGCTGGCGATGATTCTTAGCACTATGTAGCATGGAAGATCTACCTAGGTTGGGCGTTGGCTCCAGGAGATGCGCCGGCAAGGAGAAACGAACAGAGGCGATGTCGGCCACACCGACGAACCTGAGGAAGCCACACAATCCTATCAGCACAGCCTGGCCGAGATGTATGGAGCAGCGAAGGTCGGTAGATATAGCTTGTCTCGGAGTTTCACGCACTTTCGAAGGATAGACAAAAAGGTTTTCAATTTAGAAGAGTCGTCAGGTGTCTTTTCAGGGACATCCTGATTCGCGATGGAAGACATGGTGGGCTGAAGACTAGACGGTGTGCGATGCTTTGCGTCGCCCGTGGCGAAAAGGGTCGGAAATTGATAAGGGAGGATGTTAGATCTCAACAAGACCGCGGCGCGTGGAATATGTTTTATGGTTGCCCGAGTAGCCTATTGAAGCCGGTTAGTAAGGAGCAGTCAGAGTCCGAGGAGCAGTAGTATCCTTAGGGCAGGATAAGGTATTCATTCCACTATGCTCTGCGGGCAGATTTGTGCTGAAACGACAATAATAATAATAGCACGGCGCACAGGACCCCAGGCGGTGACGTTCTAAATTTCTACGTCACCGACACTTTGAATTAGTTAGTAGTTTACGGAGTACGGAGTACCTACGGAGTAGTTGACTGACTAAGAGCTGCCGCCAGTAGTTACGGAGTCGATACAGATACACAGACCTACCACCTGTATGGACGGAGTACTCCGTAGTAGGTAGACAACTGCCATCCAATCGGCCCACCACGAGGTTCCTAGTAGGTAGTATCTACGGAGTAGTAGAATACGAATCTCGACAATAGTTGCCGATCCATCGTCCTCCCTTTTCATGTCACGCACCGGCATGTATCACCCGACAACCGGGAAGATCATCATACTCTATCATCTAACGTTGATACAATCATTCACTTGTCCTTCACATGACTTTGCCATCATCACAACAGGCCTTCGATGGCCCTCTTCCGTGCCAAAAATCGTAGCCAGGTTCGGACGGCTGGACCGTAATCATACCTCCGGCCTTCCGCATAGTCATCATCTGCCCGTTGGGACTGTTGCTCCTCCCGGATCGATGCCCGGAGATCCTGCTGAACACGACTCAACATGTGCCGGTGCTGTACAAGCGTTTCCATTGAGCAAGTTAGGTATTCGTTCCCTTGTGCGTCCGGGATAGCCACCTGGTCAACCATCTCCCTCGTGAGTGCGTAGGAATCATTGGGCCCAATGATAAGATCCCGGGACATTGGAGCTGCAAAAGCTGAGCCCATATTGATCGGTTCCTGTGTGCATGAGCCGATGCGTTCATGCACGATCTCTAAACACTTTACATTCGTCGCCAATTGGCCAACGAGCTCGGGGAGGGGATCCCTAGCGAGGCTTAGGATAGAAAATTCAATTTGGTCTTCTTCATATGCCTGCATTCTGGCACGGATGTTGGGCTTTACCAGATCCAGCCAATCCTCACCGGATGCACAAGGCCCTTGGATCAACCCAGTCAGCAGGTACAAGCACAGTTTCACTGACCTACATACCGAGGGACTGGGGCTGGCGTTCCAAACCATCAAACTTCCAGAGTTTATCCAGGGCAGGAACAAAAGCGATGAAGTGAAAACCCGCATCTGTATTGTCTTCCTCGTTCTTATTCTTGGCTGAACGACTTCGCTTCAACGCGGCCTCAGTCTTGAGCTGGTAATCCGAGCCAAGCATGTCCATTTTCCTGTTTCCCAATTAGGTCAAGGCAAGAGCTCTCGCTGAGTAATGTACTTAGTTACCTCGCAAATGAATTGTGTATTCTTTTCACAAATTCAAAATTACTTATTGCGTCTCCTCTCAGCGCAGGCGTAAATGGCATGGTGAAGTCTTTGAAGTGTTGCAGATTATCTCCGAGGTCAATCCCCTGGATATTGTTGACGATATTCAAGAGGGCTACACTGGCACAGGAATTGCTGGAGGTCTATCCGGAGCGGTCAGTGCTAATATCTCCAGCCAGACCACAAGCAGGAGCAACAAACAGACCTGATTGGCAAACCACAATCCCTCTGGACAGCTCGCTTCTTGCTTCTCTGGATCGTCCTCCCGCCAACGGAAGAGAAAGATCAATCCATAGACAGGTTTGCTGTAGGAACTCAATTGCTTAGGAGGCCAATGATTAATTCAAGTTCGAGTAGCTCACTTCAAAAACCTCATCATTTCCTCATCCAGAGATATAACTTCTTGAACTTTGACCCCCTTTACTCCAAATTCTCGGAGCATGACGTTGAAAAGGGCCTACAGAAGGGACATCAGCCATGCTAGATACCTAGAGGCCAAGGGAAGTGGATAGTCCCTGTGGGTTGTGAGGCATACAGGCTCTGATTCAAGCTCACAGAAGCCGCTCCAAGAATCCTTCTCCCGTTTTGATGCTGGTAGACACATGGCATCCGCGCATTCGGGTTGAGCATCTAACCGCCTTTGTTTGATGTGCTGAGCCATGCTGGTCAGGCTCCCTAACAAGTAGAAAAGGTTAATAAAGTCAGGGCAACCAGGCGGATACACACAACAAGTAGCTTAAGTGATTCGATCCATCTAGAAGTAGCTGTGGTACTAGTAGCTGGGAAGAGAAGTTACAGTGCTGTAGATAGTCATAGTTCCGTGGCGTCGCGGCATGAATAAAGGACTACTAGGTGGGTACGGAGTATTGTAGGTGGTAGGTACTCTGTACTGAAGTGGATTCTCAGGGGTGTAGGGGCTTCCGGACGCTTCACCTGTACACAGCCTAAGACACAGAAGCAGAACACTAGTAAAAGATAGAAACAGTACTTTTTAGAGTTATGATATTGATAAAATAAGCACTTAAGAATTTCTAACTAGTAACTACTGACAGATTCTTTTTAAAAATTATCAGAATATATGCTTACTCAGCTAAAAATAAAAGAATTATGTTTTATTTATAAATTTAATTATATTATATTATTTCTTTTTATTTAATACATAATTATTTTTTTTGATTAAAATAATTAGAATTATAAGAGATGATATCCGCGGGATATATATACTTATAAGAATAAAGCCTATCTTTTTTTAGATATATCTAAATATATATATAGAATTCTAGAGATCTATAAATAATTATAAATAATATTAATTTCTTAATTTAATAATAATAATTTTTCTAGATTATAGTCTTATATATTTATTTATAATTATTAATTATAGATTTAATTTCTATAGTAGACTTTAATAAACTAAAGTTTATATTATTTAATTAAGAACTAATTTTAATAGATCTAGTTTAGTTATATAATTCTCTTACTATTTTACTTATATATAATTATACTAGTCTAAGAAGATTAGCTCAGGACTTTATTATATATAGTATAATATAATAAGATAATAATTGTTAGGGGAATGATTAGATTAAGCTAATTTAATAACTATTAATACAGAAGAAATTAATAAAGAAAAAAATAAAAATAAAAATATTTAAATTATATTTAGAGTGGCTAATAGCCAGGTCAGATCAGATTAATTAGAATTTTTATATCTATATCTAATCATCAGATTATAATTAGATTAAGAAAATTTTTATATCTGATTATAATATAGCTAAAAATCAGATAATTAATTATTTTAATTATTTTTAATATTAAGATTTATCTGCTATATCTTTTTAAGCTTTAGTATAATTAAGATATATTTAGATTAAATAATTATTAATCTAGCTATCTATACTATTATTTAAAAATATATAAAAAAAAGCTTTTTAAATTAAAAAAATATAATTAAAAAAAATTAATATTTTTTTTATTATTATCTATTAGAAATAATAAGAAAATTCTAGTTATATTAATAAAATTCAGCTTTTTATAAAATTATTATTCTTATAATAAAAAATATATATAAAAATATATAATTATTACTCTATTTTAGCTATATATCTTAATTATATTATATAAAATACTAGAACAACTATATATTAATTATTAATTAAAATTAGAGTGGCTAACAGCCAGATCAGATTAGGTTAATTAGAATTTTTATATCTAACTGCCAGATTATAATTAGATTAAAAAAAATTTTATGTCTAATTATAGTATAGCTAAAAATTAGATAATTAATTATTTTAATTATTTTTAATATTAAGATTTATTTATTATATTTTTTTAAGCTCTAGTATAATTAAGATATATTTAGATTAAATAATTATTAATTTAACTATTTTTATTATTATCTAAAAATATATAAAAAAAAGCTTTTTAAATTAAAAAAATATAATTAAAAAAGAAATCAGTATTTTTTTTATTATTATTTATTAAAAATAATAAGAAAATTCTAATTATATTAATAAAATTTAGCTTTTTATAAAATTATTATTCTTATAATAAGAAATATATATAAAAATATATAATTATTATTCTATTTTAATTATATATCTTAATTATATTATATAAAATACTAGAAAAACTATATATTAATTATTAATTAAAATATTAAAAATAAATATATTATTTTTATTTTATTATTTCTTCTGAGTTAAGTTATTTTTAGATTTATAAATAAAATATAGCTTAAAAAGCTATTAATAAAATTAGAAATAAATAAATAATTAAAGAAATTATAGATAGTTAGATTATTAGAATAAAATAGATTAAATAAATTAAATAGATTAAATAGATTAAATAAATTAAATAAATAAAATAAATAAATAAAATAAATAGAATATATTAGATCTATATTATAATATTATAATTTTTATAAAAAATTTTATAAAAGCTTTTTATAAATTTTTTTTATAAATATTTATTTTTATTTTAGTCTATTATATTTTAAATAATTTTATTTAAAAAAAGAAACTATTTTATAATTCTGGATTTTAAATATAAATTTTTATTTATTAAATTTATTAAAATAAATAAAATATAGCAGATATATTAGTTATATATTAAAATATAATAAATTATATTTATATAAAATTATATTTTAAAATAAAATAAACTATTTTTATAAAATTTTCTATTTTTATTTTTTTATATTTATTATTTATAAAATAGCTTCAGAATTATAAATTAATTATAATTATTTAATTTATTTTTAAAAAATATTATTAAATCTTTTTTTTATTTCTTAGATTTTTATAAATTATAATAATATTTAAACTAAAATAAGCTTCTTAAATCAGATCTTTTCTTTTTTTCTAAATCTTAAAATTATATATATTATAAAGAATTAAAAGATTATAAGAACTTTTCTTAAGAAGTAAGAACTTTTCTTAAGAAGACTTTATTGAACTTTTACTTTCTTATATAAATTGAGTGCAAAAGTAAGGTGAAAGTAAGAGAAAGATAAGAGAAGTAAAAAATAAAAAAAATTAAAGATTAGATAATTAAATAAAAACTTTTTTTTAATCTCTTAAAAAGACTTTACTGAACTCTTATTTTCTTATATAAATTAGATATAAAAGTAAGATAAAAGTAAGATAAAGATAAAAGAAAGATAAGAGAAAGATAAAAAAAATAATAAAAAAAATTAAAAATTAGATAAATAAAAAAAAAACTAAAAACTGATTTAACTTGATTAAAACTTGTTAAAAAATTAATTAAAAATTAAAAAATCTTTTTATTTATATTTATAGCTAATTGGCTATTAAAAATATATAAAAATATATAAAATTATATAAAAATTATATAAAAATTATATAAATAGAACAGAGCCGAGAATAATAGAATTAATAATTAAATAAAGACTAGAATAATTAATAAAAATAAGATCTCTTACTCTACTATAAGATAGATAGAACTTAAAATTATTAATCTGCTAATTAATAATCTAAAACAGCTAATTAGTCTGAGACTATAAACTAATAAGTCTTAGACAGTAAACTAGCAAGTCTTAGATAATAAACTGACTAGTCTGCTTATATTATTAATATATTCCCACAGTTTTAATAAGATAAAATATTAGAAAAAACTGAAGTAAATAAATTACTAAAAATAAAAAATAATAATAATAAAATTTAATAAATTATTATATTTAATTATTTAATAAATTAAGTATATTTCTAATTAAGAAACTACTTAGTTAGACTATCTATTTATATTTTATTAATAGATATTTATTAAATATTAATTATTTTATTTAGAGCTTCTTATCTTAGCTAATAATTAATAATATTAATATATTTCAGACTAGTCTAAAAGAAAAAATTCTTATTAATAAGAATTTTAACTGTTTAATAATTATTATATAATATAAAGAAATATTAATTAGGGCTAAATTCTATTTATTTAAAAAATCTTTTTTATTAAAAAAATTATTTAATTATAATAATTAGAACTAATAATTTAGCTTTAGTAATTAAAAAAATTATATAATATTATTTCTTACTTAACTAATTAATAAAATTATTAAATAAATAAATAATATATCTTATTAAACTAGTATAATCTTGATTATTAGTAAAACTAATATCACTGACTATATAAAATAAAATAGGACTAGAACTAAATTTAATAGTTAAATTTTTTATTTCTTTTAAATAAAAGATTAAATAATTTATAGCTCTAAAATATTTAGGATTTAAATTAATCAAATATTCTGAAATTAATTAATATAATTTAATAATATCAGATTTAGTCTAAATTATAGAATATAAAACTAATTCTATTTTCTATTAAAATTTATAAATTTAATTAGTAGTAATCTAATAAAATAAATTCTTTACTAATTTCTTATTTAAAAATAAGAATTTAGAGCTTTTTCTTTACTCTAAATTAAACTTATTAATAATTTTATTAATATAGTTTAATTATTAAATCTATAATTTTCTATTTGAGTGATTATATAAGATTTAAATATTAAGAAATAAATTAATCTTTTTAAGATCTTTAAATTCAAATAATATTATTAATTCTTACTTAAATTTATTAAATTTTTAATAATTTAATTTATAAAATACACAAATTATATTATTTATAAAAATTATTAAAATTATAAATTTATTAATAAAGATATATTAATCTTTTTAAATAAACTTAAGCTCTAGAGCTATTAGTCTCTGTTTTAAAATATTTTATTAAAGAAATAATAAATATTTTAATTTATATAAAGCTTTTTATAATAGAAAAACTATTTATTTATTTTTTAATTTAGAAATTAGATTTATATAGATTTTCTTCTTAATAAAACTATTAAAAAAGATAATAATTATATTTAGTTAATTAATTTCTAGATTAAATATAGTAATTAGAGCTAAAAAAATTTATATAAATCTGGTTATAAGAGTGTTAATATATATTTTTAATTAATCAAATATCTATAAATTATTTCTAATATAAATTCGGGCTTTAAAATTAGTCAGATAATTAGTTTTATTAAATTTATATAAAAATACTTATTTTAATAGTAATACTTCAGCTCTATTAGTTTTATAAATTAAATATATATTCTAAATATTTAGAGCTTCTAATTAATTAATTTCAGTTTTGGCAGTCTAAGTAAATTAGCTTAAAAATATATAATTTTTTATTTCTTGTTAGTTAATAGACAAAGATAAAAATAATAAGAAATTAATATAAAGAATTTTATTCTTATTAATATAATTAATTATTATTTAAATAACTTAAAAAATAAGTCTAGTTTTTTTAAAATCAAAATCAGATAATTTTAAGCAGATCTATTTTAGATCTCT